CTTTCAAGCGAAGGTGGATCCTTTGGGAATGGCTCCCCTCCAGAGGTTGTGGGGGCTCCGTCACTGGAGGGTCTTCAGGGGAGATTGGACAGCCGTTTGTTCGGAATGAAATTGGGTCTCCTGCCTGAACAGGGAATGGACTAGGAGACCTCCAAGGTCCCCCCCAAAACTCAATTATTCTGTAGTGGACCTGATGTTTTCTGGGCAACAAGATCGGGCTGATGTGCCTCTTGGTCTTTTCTGGGTTGTTCTCGTTTTGTTTTACTTCCATTTCAAGCTAACGAGTAGGTACCCCTATCCGTGTATTCCGCAGGTTCAACTGTGCTTAAATGCAGCACTTTTTTAAAAATAGCTATTGATCAGACTGCTTAGTGACAAAGATGCCCATCTTAATTGCAGTCAGTAAGTGAGGACTACTTCATTTGGGTTGTCACCAGAGGGATTGTGGAAAATATTTTCTGCCCTTAATTGGAGCTCAGGGCTTCCATGGGCAAAACTGGTGCTTCAAATCTTGCAGAGACTTTAGGCATCTTTTCATCAGTTAAAGCTTCTACATCTGCAAAGTTTGTGTCATGCAGACTGAGAGGTGTGGCTTGATGAAATGTAAGAGAAAGTCCAAGTGTGTATGTTTATAAGGCAATGCATTTATTCATCTGAATAAAGATGGGTCCCTCCTAAGGAGGAAGGAACCCAGTACATAGTGCAAGGCAGATACTGATACATATATTTCTTTGCTTTTGCTTTATTACATACAATAAGAGGCAGCTGGCACATGACAGAAATTATAAAAATTACAAAAATAATCACGCATGCCTTCTGTGGAGCGAGTGATATCGAGTTGACCATGCCCACCCTGGTTTTGTGGCTTCCAATGTTTTGTTTTTCTGTGGGAAACGGGTCCAAATGGCTCTTTTAGTGTTTAAGCTTGCAGACCCCTGGGCTAGTGGTTTCCTGTGAAAGTTTCCATGGCCTCAGAAGCCTGTTGTTGCCTGACCTTCAGCCTTGCCATCTCAACAGATGAGCAATCAGCAAATTCATCAGATTCCTGACTAACATTTGTGCAGAAGTTTTGAGTAACCATTTTGAGATTTTTTTACATGCTTGAAAGATTGGATTTTTTTCCATGTTGTAGGTATGTGTATTTTTCTTTCTCTCTGAACATATGTACCTGCAAATGTCCATATCAGGATGTAATAAAAATCAATTGGTCCTTTAAAAAGTTCTTTAAAGTAGGTAAATACAACCACAGATGAAGAACAATACATGGCATATTATACCAAATCATCATTTATTTTATAAAAAGAAAGCCAAAAGGGACAAGTCGTATGTGAAAAATATCAGATTCAATAATTTGTAGAACCACCTTTAGCAGCAACAACTAGAAGTAATTCTTTTCTGTGTGACTTTATCAGTCTCGCAGCATTGTGGAGGAATTTTGGCTCACTCTTTTTTACAACATTGCTTCAGTTCATTGAGGATTGTGAGTGTTTTTTTATGCACAACTCTTGAGGTCCCGTCAATCGGGTTGAGGTCTGAACTTTGACTGCCATTGAAACACCTTGGTTCTTTTCCAGCCATTCTGTTGTAGATTTGCTGGTGTGTTTTGTGACCATTGTCCTGTTGCATAATCCCATGCCAGCCTAGCTTTAGCTATTGGTCTCATCTGTGTAAAGGACAAGTGTTCCAGAAGTCCTGTGATTTGTTCAGATGCAACTTTGCAAACCTCAGCCATGCTGCTATGACCTTTTTAGAGAGAAGAGACTTTCCCCTGCTAACCCTTCCAAACAAACCATACTTGCTTAGTCTTTTTCTAATTGCACTGTCATGAATCTTAACATTTAACATGCTAACTGAAGCTTGTAAAGTCGGAAACAGAATTCTTTGGGTGTTTTTGCAATTTCTCTAGCTATTGCATTGTGTGGCCTTAGGGAGAATTTTATTGAATGTCCACTCGTGGGAAGATTGTTTTGAATGTTTCCCAGTTGTGAATAATCATCCTCGCTGTAGAATGATGGATTTTTAAATTGTTCGGAATTGGCTTGTTAAACCTTCCCAAATCGATAGGCAGCAATAGTTCCTTTTCTAAGATAATTGCTAATTCTTTATTCTTTGCCACTGTATTAACACACACCTCAATGCCAGAGATCAGCAAACTCCTACAACTTCAGCTTTTATAGATGTAGTTATACTTGCTGATGATATAATTGATCAATAGCACTGTATTAGCAGTAGTACTTGGCTGCTATTTCACCTCTTAATACTATGGAAGCAGTGAGAAATTTCCTCATGGGGAGAATAATTAACCAGAAGAAAGGATGGCTTTGAGAGTTTTGTTGCTCCATCACTTGAGGCTTTTCAGATATGTTTTATTTGTAATTTTCCTTTAACAACCATACATATTTTGTATGACAGTGTATTAGAAAACGTTAACAACAATAGTAAGGGATGCGGTGGCTCGGTGCTTAAGATGCTGATCTTGTAGATCGCAAAAGTCAGCAATTCAGCAGTTTGAATCCCTTGCATCTGACTCTTTAATCCTTCTCCGTGTATCCAATAGCTGCTTTCTTAATGTTTGGAGATTATTTTTTGAAATTATTTTATCTTTAGAATAAAAGTTGGAAGGTATCTCACCCAGTTTCAATGCTCTGTCCATGAACCGCTCCAGCACAATTCTTATTGTCCCAGTTGTCACAGCTTGCGACTTGCCAAAATGGCCATCATCCCTGCTGCTTTTCGGGAGAGCTTTCTTCAGACCTAACGAAGAAATTGTGGTTTTGTCGTGATAATTGAAGCACCTCTCCTTCCTTCACCACCCCTCAAGGGCGGCTTCGACCATGTAGCACAGGGGTCCCCAAACTTGGCAACTTTAAGACTTATGGAGTTTAAATCCCATAGCTGGCTGGAGAGTTCTGGGAGTTGAAGTCCACAACTCTTCAAGTTGCCAAGTTTGGAGACCTGTGTTTTCGGGTCTCCTGGCAGATACCAGCTGTTTTCACAGAGCTTGACGGAGCTCCACTATTTTCCAGCCGTTTCCACTGCACCACCAACCAGTCTCCCCATTTGAGGCTTTTCAGAAGAGATGAGACAGCCACTTGTCTGAAATAGTATATTTCAGGTTTCATATCTTTGTGTTGTTTTATCATTTTTTCCAACCATGAGCGTAGTTTTGTCCAGTATCTTTTAGCTTCTATACACGACCACCACATATGGTAATATGTTCCAGGTGTCTGGTCACACTTCCAGCATTTAATTTATCTTTGAACATCTTAGCTAATTTTGCTGGTGCAAATTGCCATCTATAAAACATCTTATACAAATTTTCTTTGTATGCTGTCGATATTGTTAATTTATAGTTCCTATCTCATAGCTTCTGCCATTTATCTAATACTATAGCATATCCAAACATTTTTGCCCGTGCTACCATTTGTTTCTTTAACTTGTTGTTCTTCTAGTTTAACACCTAGTAAATAGCAATATAATATTTTAATCAACTTATCTTCCATTCCTGTTAGTATTTTGTCCAATTCTATCAACTCCTTATGAATCCCTTCAGCTTTAATATCTTTTTCATATCTTGATTGTATTTGCATATATGAATACCAATGCATTTGCAACCCTTGTTCATTCAATTCTTGTTTAGTTTTGAGCTCACCCTTTTCCTTTCAGATATCTTTATATCTAGCAATAGTTCCCATTTTGCAAACATTTGGGTGTATGAGTGCTTCCAATGTGGAAAACCAGACTGGAATCTTCATGTAATGTTGTTCTCTAGTTTTTTCCCATGCATTCCTGACCATATGTCTTTGAAAACACCTATGTATTTTCCTTCTCCCATACCATAGAAATGCATGCCAGCCCAGTTGTAAATCATGTCCCTCTAGCATTAACAGTCTTCTGTTTCTCAGTGTTATCCATTCTTTCATCCAGGTTAATACTGTGGCCTGATAATCTATTTCCCAATAAGGTAACCCAAACCCTCCTCTGGTTCTCGCATCCTAAAACCATAGAAATGAAAGAGAGTGTACTTTCTTTTTCACTTGACTGTATTTGAAAACAATCATCTGCACTGCTAAGAATTGTGATTGACCCAGTCAACAACTGAATTTCATAATTTTTCATTGTAATGTAAATGTAATGTTCTTTTTTTTCTCATCTATTGCAACCATTTTATTTATTTTATACCCTTTTATTTCATTCTTATAGACAAAGAGGATGGTGATAAGAGCACACTGGACAACTGAGGATGACAAGCAACATTGAATAGCAAAGCAAGTCAGTCCAGAAATAGAAATATTTTCCATTTTCTTCAAAGCACCACACAATTCTTTACCTTCCTCAGCAGGTGAAAGAGAAATGAGAGAAAATCAACAAGAGATTTCTAGATGGGAAAAGTAATATGTGAAATTCAAGAATACGTTACATAAAAAGTCAATGGAGATTATTTTTCCATTCAGAAAAAGAGGGAAGTGAAAAAGTCAGTGTGAAGGAAAAGGTCGATTGGAAAGCCATGTAGAGCAGATAGTGTTGCAGGCTTCACTCTGGAAGGAAGAAAATCACAAATAAATCAAAGCACAACTAACAAGGGATCATCCATATTTTTGACCTCCTCAAGAATTTTAGTGGTGGAAAAGCTCCATAGATGTGCCAGTTGTGGGAAAGATACAACTTGCAAATCACAGTTGACTATGCATGAGAAGATCCAGACTGGAGAAAAGTCTTACATATACTTTGAATGTGGTAAAATCTTTGATCAGAACAACTCCGTTGTGGTTTTTGGAAGGATCCATACAGGAGAGAAACCCTACAAGTGCTCCCAAGGCGGTAAATGCTTTAGCAAGCATAGCAATGTGGACTCACACCAAGGAGAAACCGTTTGAATATCCTGATTGCTGGAAAAGTTTCAGTCAGAATTCCAGCCTGGTGACACACCAGAAGACTTTCCCAGGAGAGAAGCCCTTTGAATGTCCTTATTGTGATAAAAGTTTCAGTTGGAATTCCAGCCTGTTGTCACATCAGAGGACTCACACAGGAGAGAAACCCTTTGAATGTCCTGATTGTGGGAAAAGTTTCAGTTTGAATTCCAGCCTGATGAGACACCAGAGGACTCACACAGGAGAGAAACCCTTTGAATGTCCTGATTGTGGGAAAAGTTTCAGTCAGAATTCCAGCCTAGTGACACACCAGAGGACTCACACAGGAGAGAAACCCTTTCAATGTCCTCATTGCGGGAAAAGTTTCTGTGATAATTCCAGCCTGGTGAAACACCAGAGGACTCACACAGGAGAAAAACCGTTTGAATGTTCTGATTGCGGGAAAAGTTTCTATGATAATTCCAGCCTGGTAACACACCAGAGGACTCACACAGGAGAGAAGCCCTTTGAATGTCCTGATTGTGGGAAAAGTTTCAGTTTGCATTCCAACCTGATGAGACACCAGAGGATTCACACAGGAGAAAAACCCTTTGAATGTCCTGATTGTGATAAAAGTTTCAGATCGAATTCCAACCTGGTGATACACCAGAGGACTCACACAGGAGAAAAACCCTTTGAATGTTCTGATTGCGGGAAAAGTTTCTGTGATAATTCCAGCCTGGTGAAACACCAGAGGATTCACACAGGAGAGAACCTCTTTGAATGTCCTGATTGCGGGAAATGTTTTTGTGATAATTCCAGCCTGGTGAGACACCAGAGGACTCACACAGGAGAGAAGCCCTTTGAATGTCCTGAATGTGGGAAAAGTTTCAGTTTGAATTCCAGCCTGGTGACACACCAGAGGACTCACACAGGAGAGAAACCATATGAGTGTCCAGAATGTGGGAAAGATTTCAGTACTAGATCTAATCTTATAAAACATGTACTTATACACACTGGTGAGGAACCATGTGAGTGTTCCGAGTGTGGATGTTGCTTTAGGAGACATTCCACCCTTATTGCACACAAGAAAACGCACACAAGGCCCGAAGTGATTAGTGTAGAGAAGGTTTGAACTTCATTTCTAATGTTCCATTGCAAGTCCAGTTGAGAAATTTACTGTTTAATTTGACTACAAAGAATTGGCCTAACTTTTTGTAGAAAAGCATGTAATGGTATTAGATGGGAAGGAGGAAAGAAAAAATTGCAAGATAATAATTTTATAATGCCTATCTGGCTATCAGCAGCAGAAGTTGCTGGATACGATTAATCCTCGGGTTACAAATGCAATGCAGCCTGCCCATTCCATCCGTAAGTTAAGAATGCGTGGGAGTGAATCTCATAGATTGAATGACATCACTCCCTGCTTCCTCTCTTGCATTTGTGCTTTCTTGCCCCAGAGCAGCCTGACAAGGCCTTCGATACCAGGAAAGCAACCCCAAGAAGCTGCTCATGGCCTCTCGAGGCTACTTTCTTGTCAGGAAAGCGCCCGAGGATTGCGTAGGCTTTGGCAGCCCTTTGCAAAATGCCTTTTTCTTTTTCTTTTTTTTTGCATCAACTCCTCCTAAGCTCTGCTGGTGCCAACAAAAGCTTTTTGCAAAAGGCTGGTGAAGCCTACAGGAACACAATCTCCCTGCAGGCTTCAGCAAAGAATCAGCTAACGGAGTGAAGGACTGAAGTTTCCCTCTGTTTGCAAACGTTCAGGTCTCAATTTACAGAGAATAGAAGCCTAAAGTGTGAGATTACACAAGAACTCGCGCTACTGATCTTGCATGATCTCACAGTATGTTAGGCCTCTGTTCTCTGCAAATGCAGGCAAAGAAACCACAACAGAGAGATCTTTGGGAAGTAAGTGACTCTCCACAGGCGAAATGCCTGTGAAGAGCTGGCCAGGGGGGGATAGGTGGGGTGAATGTTGCAGAGCCTCTGCTTATTATTCATAAGAGTGGACAGGATTTCCACATTTATTGCAGCTGTGGTGCTGCAATATTCATAATTTTGGGATTTATTTGTAAACTCTAGGGGGCGCTTATCTCATAACTTTGAACATTCACTAAGAGAATGCTCATAAGCTGGGAATTGCCTGTATTTATTTTTGAAGAAATTGTAAAAAGCTTTTTTGGAGTGTTTGTTGCATTTTTATCATGGTGGATCCCAGCTTTTTTCTCCCTGGGCGCCCCCAGAATTTCAGCCCCAGAGTTCACCAGCCAGCATCTCTTGGGGATAGGAGCACTAAACAGATTGAGGCTCCTCATAAAAGGAGAAAAATGAGAGGAGAAGAGAAGCAGAAAGGTTTCAAAGTTCATCTTTTCCAAACAGTTCCAGGAATTCAGAAAACCAAGCATGTCTGTTCATATTGTGTCAAGACTGAGGCACGCAAGTGGAAGAAACTATATGAATAGCAAATATATTGGAAGAGTTTGAGGCAGTGACAAAACCAGCATAACATTTTAGATGTAAAGGCTGTCCTGCCCTGCAGGTGGCCTTCATGGAGAAGAGCTACAGGAATATTGAGTTGAGGAGAAAAGGGATTATGGTTTTGAGTACAGGATTTCCAGGTTTATTTGCAACTCCTGCTGTGATCTCCTTTGCTTGGAGTTGCCTCCTTATTAGCCTTTGAGAGCTGGGGCCTGAAAGCATCATCAATATACTGATAACTGTGTGGTTTCCACACACATACACACCCCGGTGTGGAGATGTGAGGGAAATTATTGTATAATAGATAATGTTTAGTTCCTAAAACAGCATTGCGTAAGAATCTTGAATAGCTTTTGAGAAAGACAAATAAAGGAAAGTGTCAGGATTTCTGTAAGCAGAACATGTTTCCTGTGCTTTCACTTGTCCCTCAGGGCTCCTTAATATTTTTTTCAAAAATTTATTCTTCAAATATAGGGAGGAATGGGGTGGGCAGAGCTGGAGTCACAGCAGAAAGATGGGGATTCGGGAACTCCCAAAAGAACCGTTGATATCCCTGCTACTGGACAGTCCTTTTGGACCTAGACCATCCCAGAGAGACGGTGACAGAAGAGGGCACATCCTATCAATCCCAAGGACATTGCAAAGTCCCTGGTTAATCCAGGAAAAACTCCCCGAACCGGCGGCTGAGGAAAGCCATTATAAAGCTGTTGGAAAGCTGGGACAGCTCTGGAATGAAAGGGAAAGCAGAAGGAAAGTATGTCCGAATTGGGTGAGATTTTTTGAGAATTTTTTGCTAAAGATTAAAGAGCACCCTAAGGGAATAAGAAATTTTAAGATTGAAGACAGAAGAGAATGCAGCGGGAAAGCATGTTTATAACTGTCAGATTCAAGTAGGGCTATTTTATAACGTGTTTTAACAGAAAGATCATTTTTTTCTCTTTAACTGGACTGGACTAATAATTTGGAAAAGACAAAACCCTAATTTTAATTTTAAATCCTGGACTATTTTTTCCTTTTTAGTTTGCCTATTTAGTAACTGTAACTTTAAAAGTGAATCTTTTTCTTTTTTCTTTTTCTTTTTAATTTCCGCTGGATACAATATAACAAAGGAATGAAAGCAAAGCAAGGCAATAGTACCACCTAGAGGCTATAGAATCTTTTTTAATAAATCTAAGAATTGTTTTTCTGGACAGTACGCTGACTCAAAAGGAAGATAAAAAGCAAAGCGCTGAAGGATTGTTGAAACAGGTGTTGTGCTGACAATCTAAACAGATGGGGATAGAAGAGAAAGACTACTATGACCTTGGATATATTATGATTTGGTTTTCTGGACACAATACAGTGGCTTGGAATTGCTTTGTGACTGCTATCTAAAATAATTGTTGGCTATTTCATTTTGTTTCATTTTTTACTACTGGTATTTTTTCTGGGCCTTTTTACTCTTAAATTTGTCTGCATCTGCTTGCCTCCTTTTTCTTTTTGGCTAGCTTTTTATTTGGAACGTACTAGTTTTTCCTATTTTTATTCTCTAGTACTGGATTACTACAAGCGGACTATTTTTGGAACTCTTTCCTTTTTGATTTTTTGTTTGTTTTTTATTTTTAGCTCTGTGGATTTAACAGGTATTTTTATTTTTCATCACTTTTTGTTTTTTCTTTTCTTTTTGATATGGAAAGATTGTTTTCCTTATAATTGGATTAAGGTAGAGAAGAACCCAAAAAAAGCAGAATTTGAATTAATTGGCAGATATCCTTTGTGTGGAATTATAATTGACTTGAGATGAGGAAGACAGCTGCAACAGGATCATCGATTCCTACTTCCTCCTCCCTAAGCCCAGCTGGTCAGTGATCAATACTATGCTACGGCAGGAAAAGGGAAGGGAAAAAGAGAAGGAAGGAGAAAGAGAAAAAGAAAAGGAGTTTCCAATGAAGGAATTAAGAACAATGATGCAAGCAATACAAGTAATACAAAAACAAAGGAAGCGTGGAGAGGGCGGAGCTGGCGTCGCAAGGATACGGCATGCGATCTCAGAGGTCTGAGATCGCAGCCAATATCTTTGCCCCTGGATGGTCTAAACGGATCTAAACCGTCCCAAAGAGATGGCGAAAGTGAAGAGCACATCCTGTTGATCCCAGGGATACCGCAAAGTCCCTGGTAGATCCAGGAGAAGCTCTTCTTGCCAGCGGCAAAGAGGCAGCCATTAAAGCTGCAGAAGTTGGGACAGCTCCGAAACGGAAGAGAGCAGAAAGGGAAAGTGTGCCGGTTTGGTGAGAACTTTTTTATTCTAAGACTTGAAAGGACACCCTAAGGAAAAGAAAGAATCTAGAGGCTTGAAAATGCTTTATTTCCTGTGATCAGACGAAGCTGAGAAAGCTGAGAAAGAAAGAACTGAGACTCCTTTTCAAGGACATTGCTATGTGATAAGATAGAGGGAAGAGCACGGGAGAGTGTTATTGCAGGTGCTCTTCTGGATTTCTATCAACAGCTGGAGCCTGGTGTTGAAGCTTATGAAAAGAAAAGGTGCTAAGTCTTTGGAGAATAGAGTTATAATAAGAGCCTTGGATAAGTAAACAAAGTGCAGTGTGCCCTTTTTATTTTTTTTAAGCTGTGCAACTCCTCCTTACCAGCTTTACTGTATTTTTTTTAAATCTTTATTCTTGTAATAACTACTTGGGTTTTTGGCCTGGTTGGAATTTGTTTTTGTCTCTTTTTTTTGGAAGTCCAGTCTTCACGCTTGCTTTTTATTTTAAAGGGAAAGCCTTAAAAGCCTTTTCTCCTTTTTTTTTCCTGGCATTTTTTGTTTTTTTTCACCCACCTTTTTGGTTCATTTTTATGCACTTTTTTCTTTGTGAGACCTTTCAATTGGATTAAGGTGTTGAAGAACCTGAAGAATTTTTCTCCTTTTGTTTTTTTTAAGTCTTTTTTTTTACTTAACTACTGATTGGATTAAGGTTTACAAGAACCTGAAGAAACTTTTGTCTCCCCCTTTTTTATTACTGTTGGGCTTTTTTCTCTCTACCATTTTTATTTTTTGCCTTGGATTATAATTGGCTACTTCACAATTGGATTAAGGTTTAGAAGAACTTGAAGATTTTGAATCATTTAAAATGAGTAGGAAATTGACAGCTCCTGGTTCCTCAACTTCTACTTCTGCTTCCCCACCATCTGGAGGACAACGTTCAATACAGGCAATGTTAAAGCAAGAAAAAGAACAAGAAAAAGTGACTCTGCAGGTGATTATGCAAGGAATCCAAGATATTAAAGCAAGATCAGAGACTATTGAAAAGAGAATAGAGAACATCGAACAAAGAACAGAGAATATTGAACAAAGAACAGAGAGCATTGAACAAAGAACAGGGAAAAACGATGAAAAAGTGGAGAACATTCAACAAATGATGTCGAAGTATGATGAGAGATTCCAAAAAATTGAAGAAGATAAACAGAGACAAGAAGATTGGAGACATTGATAACAGATTAACTGGTTGAACAAGATAAAAGTGGTATGCTGAGATGGGAGATGGACAGATCAGAATTTTATCTTAGATTTCAAAACATAGAGGAAGAAAAAGGACAAAATCTAGCTGAGATAATGATAGAAATATTGGCTGAAGCTTTGGAAATAACTGAAGAGAAGATGATGGATGGAATAGATGAGGTATATTGAGTTTTTACAAGATATGCGATGAGAAATAGCCTACCAAGAGAAGTTCATATTAGATTTACAAAGAAAGCCATTAAAACGCAACTATTGCAAGTGGCAAGAGAGAAAATGGTGAAATACAAAGGCAAGGAGAGTGTGGTCTTAAAACAAATACCCAGAAAAGTGAGAGAGATGAGAAGAGAATATCAATTCCTGACTAAAATGCTACTGAAAAAAGAGGTGAATTATAGATGGCTGATCCCAGAAGGGTTAATGTTCACATGGCAAGAACAGAGACACAGAATTGACTCAATTGAGAAAGCGGAATTATTTTATACAGAATTTTTTGGAAGGAAAGAGGAAGAGGCACTAATTGAATTCCAAGAGGGCTGTCAAATGGGAACTGAAAAAGAAG